AAAGGAAGGCAGGCAGAGGAGGGAATGGCATGGAATTGGAAGCAAGGAGAGAGAAGCCTCATCGGTCAGTTTTTAAGCTTTCAATGAAGTACAAGACAAAGGCAGCATGGTAATATTGGGGATGGAACCCCCTTTCCGTCAGGAAAGGAGAAGGAGGCAGGAAGGGGGCTATTGCCTTGGAGTTTAGGGACACTAGTACACTTCGCAGTAGCAGCCAGGGGTCTGAGGCTTGGAATCAAATATTTAAAGTCGCGGTAGTCTGTCTCTAGAGAGTTTTTCTCCATCCTTTTCAGCCACAGCTGCTTCGGTTCAGAGAAGCAAAGTCATTGAGCAGAGCCAGGCCTGAGCTTTGCTAGGGGTGAGAAGGAAGGCAGGGCGATAAACGTGCTTGTGGTGATTATAATGATGGACTGCCGCCTCAAATCTGGATGGGCTCATCAAGAAATAGTTTAAAAAACCTTAATTCTGCAAATCCACTTCCATATCAGGAACTCAGGCTGAAATCAGACCATCTGTGCTCAGAGCCTCGTTCCTTCCCGGCCCCTGGCCCCCCCCCCCCCCCCCCCCCCCCCCCCCCCCCCCCCCCCCCCGGCAAGTTATCTGAGTGGCTTCCACTCTCCTCTCCCACGTCTGCAAAACAGTGAACATAGCCATCTAAATCACAAATAGCATCACCATGTGGACTGAGCTCCACACACATAGAAAAGTACAGTTTGCTCACTAGAATAATATCCTGTTACTTAATTGATTGATATCATTTATCCTGAATCAGCCCTTTATCTCCCTCTTCCCCCAGCAGAGAAGAAATCTTTCTCTGTGGTTGTCCCGGCGCTGGCAGCACGGGCAGTTGCTCCTCTTCTGTTTGTGCTTGTCATGAGTCGGTCTCCTTCCGTTTTTTTGCTCCAGTGTGCCTTTTATTTATAATCAGGAAAAAAAGTAAACAACAAACCTTGGGGAATCCCGTTCAGGTATAAAAGTGGATAGAGAGTAGCAGGTAGGTAGATTTAGACCCTTCAGGTTTTGGACAGGAGGAAGACCTTCCATTCAGTTTGCATTTTCAGCTGGGGAATGCGAAGGGATTCTACTAAGGACAAAGAGGCTTAAAAGTCATCTTTCCAGAGCAGTAGTTTGCCCAGAAATCCGTCTCTTTCCTTTTTATTTAACAAACAAACCCACAAAGGTGGACTATGCTGTTGGTTGGTTCATGGCCCCTCTGCAGGATTAGAAAACAGCACTTTTGTGTTTCATTTGTTTGTATACTTTCTTACATGATTTGCATTTTATTTTCTGTGGTTTATGACTTATGAAATTCTATATTCTCAATAGTAGCAGATAGAAAACTCTACTCCTCCTTAACCTAGTTCATTAAAGGTATGGGATGTGTAAACTGTGCCTTGTCCCTGCTGCAGCACCTCAGGGTAAAACTGTCACTTACAGTCATTATACCAAAGTGTATAGCTTCAAGAAGGTCTGTCACATGTCCCCGCATGCTGACAGTCTTCAAAAGGAGCAAAGTCTTGACTTTTCTGTGCACAGAAAGAACAAGTGATTGTAATCAGCTCACCCACCTCTAGCATTTATGTTTATAACTGGAGTGAAATGGTCACCGACAGCCATCATGGAAGCATGACATTGGATAGAGGCTAGCACTATTTGGCCATATGTCAGTGTTTGGACATCATGTCTGTTGGGTCACCTTTCACAACGAATTGGTATGAGAGTCAGGAAGAAGTTACAATAGACCCCAAGAAGGCAGAGAGCCACATCTCTGTAGAGCAGGTTAAGGGATATGAAGATGAGTTTACTAGGAGAAACAACGTTGATAAGGTCATCAGTATCTGTGGGGTAATAATCATTGCATTTCAGGGGACATGATTTGCATTCCTGTGGACAAGAATGCCCCGATGAATACGGTTTACGGCATTTCAGATAGTGCAGAAATAACATAAGCTTCACAGGGGACCCAGTAGAATTTTCCTCACCAAAGGCTCCAACAATTTTGTTATTTCTCCTCCAGTAGCAAAATGGAGATGTCTGGACACCCCGGTAAGAAGAGGTCACCGCTCTCACTAGCCTGTGCTTCATGAAATTCTTGAACTTAAATATTCATTTGGATTTTTAAGTTTTCATTTTGTTCTGGGTCAGCCTCCTGGACCAGTTGCGTTTCTGAAGTAGAATTTTTGGTAGCCACATTACAGTGTGGCCCAGTGGTGTCTCTGGCTGCAGTAAAGCTCCTCTCCCCACCAGCCTTCAGACTGCTCGGAAGATGGGCACTGTTATTTTCAGTGAAGATGCCACCTTGCTTCTGTTTTGGTTGCTTGCTCTGGGCAAGCTGGAAGCATTTTGGCAGGAGTTGCCCGCCAAGCAGTGTGCAGCTGTTCAAATACTTACAGCCTTTAGGTTTAGTGTAGATTTTGTTCTGACCCTCTTTCTGTACTTAAAAAGGAAGAAAAGAAAAAAAAAAAAAAACCACCCATGTCTACTCCTTTTTTTTTTTTTTTTTTTTTTTTTTTTTTTTTTTTTTTTTTTTGCTGTTGTTTTGTAAACCACAGCTTTTCCATTTGTAACCAGAGGCTGTGTTTACTTTAAGCCTTTGCAGTTCTGCCTAATGAATCAACTGGTACTGAATTCACAAAGGAGACTCCCTTCCCCTCCCTCCATCTGTTTGCCAAATGTGTGCACTCCCTCGGCTCCCAGGACCTGGTGCCTTCAGCACAGAGCCATTAGCAGCAGGCTTTGGAATTCTCAACTGTTCGCCTGACTGGCCAGTGGTATTTTGCCCTTGTGGCCACACAGAGTTGTCCAAGGGGAAGGTTCACATCTGTAGTTCTAAAGAATGCATACATAATACTTCAAGTGTGTGCTATCCAACTCTGCATTGCTGGGAGCTTTAGTTTGGCCCGTGAGTCTTGGTTTGTCTTATTGCGATGGGTTATGTATTTTTGCAGTAGTATTTTCATGAGGACACAAATTGCTTGAATTAAAAGAAAAAAATAACTGTTAAGTCTTGGGCGCTGAAGATTGGCAGCCCATGGTTGCACCAAGGAATCATACTATGTTTTCACCAAACTATTCTTTATCTCTTACTAGTGGCTGAGAAATGAGTTTCTGCCAAGTACAAGATGACTGTACTATGATTTTTTTTTTTTCCAGACAGCTTACATTTGCCCATGGTAGTATGGGTAGTTAAAAGATAGTGCAGTTTTGCTGGTATTCATGTCAAGTGGACATACTTGCTCCTTTGCACTAGAGCTAAGCTTAAGAGTAGAGCAGCCAGATAGCTTTCCAACATGTTCTAAAACATCTTCCCACTATAGACTTACTCTGCTTGAGATCCTCAGGACATTTTACCTACTATTTACTTATTGAGACCCATTATGAATTACCGCGGTATTCTGTTACTCAAGTACACACAGCAATGGTTCTTTTCTTTGCCCAGGAATGCAAACTACTTTTTTGATATATTGCATAGGTTATAAAAGCAATGATTTCTCTTAAATTTGTTTTTATGAATATTTTAATATCATCTCTTACGTACTGTGCAATTTCATGTAGCCTACTAAACAGTTTCTTAGGAAGTAAGGTTCATCTCAGAAGTCTTTTGAGAACTATTAGATATTATTACTCTGTTATGGCCTAGATAAGGGACAGTAAACTATTTTTAAATATAATACATCAAAGTTATATGCATTTAAACTCAACACACTTATGCACACACACACACTTACTTACATCACACACATACACAAACACACACTTACATATACACACATACCTAGTTTAAGCCCTACCCATTATTTGTTTTACTACCATCTTATTCCTTTAAGATTTCCAACTAATATATGAATAATAGCAGCAAAATAAAGATATGTTTTCTGAATAAAGAATAGGGCTCATATGTAAAATTATCCACTTCTACAAATGGAAGGACTGGTTATTGACTAAAGCTAGGAAGATAGGGGTAGAACTAAAGAGACAAGAGAAGGACAGCAACGTAAGGAGAGGCTAGAAACCTGAATGTATAGGGAGAGGAGAGCGAGCACTAGGGTTGAAAAAAGGGAGACTCAGTAGGTGGCAGGTGAGGAGATGATGTTCAGATTTAGTCTTCGTTTCTCTGGCCTTGAGAAATTTGATTAGGGCTTTTAAAGGGTAGTAACTCTTGATAATGCGGTAGGTAACTCTTCACAGCCCTTCTGCTGTCAGAACATTTGCTCCGAATGAAAGTCACCATCTGCCTCCCGAAATTATTCTGGAGCCCACATTGATTTCGCCACTCCCAGCTCAGCTTCAAGGGTCCCTGGTAGTCATTCTTTATGTCTGGGTTTTGACTTGTAGCTGTTATTATTTTTTAGAGAGAGATAGAGAGAGAGAGAGAGAGAGAGAGAGAGAGAGAGAGAGAGAGAGAGAGAGAGCAGAATTTTATCTGTCTTTTTATAATACAGTTGCACAAAATAAAAATGATTATCCAGATTGTTTTTCATATGTACGTGTGTCTATGTGATATGTGTGTTTCGGAGTGTTCCCATGTATGTGGGAACAGATGAGTGTGTGTGTGAGTGTGTGTGTGTGTATGTGTGTCTGCATGTATGGAAGTCAAGTATCTTCCCTGATTCTTCTTCAGGCCTTATATATTGAGGCAGGATCTCTCACTTGAACCCAGAGCTCACCAAAGTCTAGCTTGCCAGTTTCCTCCAGAAATTCCATCTCTGTCACCTGTGCTGGGCTATAAGTGGCTTTTCAAACTCACCCAGAACTCATGGGTACTTGGTGTCTGGGTTTTCATCCTTATACTTGTATGGCAAGCACTTTACCCTCTAAGCCATCTCCCCAGCCCCTACTATTTATACCTTGAATATTGAATAATAACTGAGCACTGGGTTTCTAGTGATTCATTATGGGTATTTTGTATATTTTGAAAATTTATTTGGGATTTTAGGAGACTAGCCGATGTTGTCTTTTGAAGCCTGTTGTTTATCTTTAAATTTCTGGTTTTCCTCCAGCCATCAAACACAGACCACCTGTTGGGATCATCCCAAAATGACTGAACTCTTTCAATCCCTCGGTGAGTGTTGCTTTATTTAACAGTGATGAGTGGGCCTTCAGGGGCAAGGGCTGTATATTCATAAAAAGACATCCAGCGTCTCACCTCCTCTTCTTGTATGGATGAAAGACTCATGCTGTGGCGTGGCCAGATAGGGCCATGACAGGTTGCCACAGGAGTCCTGAATTGAAAGGCAGCTGAACTCCTAAGGTCAACCCACAGAGCAAGCATTGCCTTTTTTCCCTAAGAGAATATGTGATTTGGAAAGGCACCAGCCAAAAAGGCTTCATTTGCCAGAAGAAATGTGATTGTTATAGGTCTCACCTCCCTCGTGTTGATGTTGACTCATAGTTCAGCTTTTCATGCTAAAGAAAAGGAAAACACAGTAGCAATTTAATAATTTCAAATTTACTGATTTAAATCCTCTTTTTGCTTTCTCTGTGGGAGATTCTTGTCAAATTAGCTTACTTAGTATGATTTTTAAGTCATAAACTGCCCTTCTTTTGACAGAGGAAGGCAAGAGCTCTGCTCTTGGGCTAATTGTCCGTCGGCTGGGACTTTCAGCTGATTACTCAGACCGCCTTCTTCAGGCTGACCCAGCTGTCCAAGTTGACTCCTTGGGAAACTGAGGGACTTTCTTCAGTGGTTTAGAAAGTTTGCTCCTTGGGCAACTGAGGGAATTTCCAAAGGATTCTCTAGGATAGTAGCATCCTGTGCCCCACCCTTTCCAGTTTCAAGAACAGACACACACACTTCTTTTTTTTCTCTTTGACACTGGTCTCTTGTTTGGTCATTGGGACTACAAAAGAAAAGCGGGAGAAAAAAAAAAACACGGCTACATCATTTAGAGACCAAAAGGAAAAAAAATCATAATCTTTGAGATTTCTTCCTGCCAGTCTGTCTTTAGGAGGCAGGAAAAAATTGTACTAGTCACTGGTTCCAAGCTAGGAACGTGGATTATAGGATTGTTTTAACTAGATCCATGAAAGAACAGAAGAAGCAAATTGATGGGGGTATCAGAGCCTAGAAGGACAGTCTTATGAGCAGAGATGGATTGGCAGTTGACAGAAAACTGACCATCCTGGGGGCAGATGTCTGTGAAGGAGAAACCCTGTGGGTGGTCAGTCTGATAGTCTGACCAGTACTAACTGCACCCCTTTTCTTTTCCTCCGTAGAGTAGAAAGTCACGAAATCTTTCCCCATCCTCATGATCCCCGAGAGTCATGGCTCACACCCCTGCAACACAGGGCAGATTAAGTAGAAAAGCAGTACAAGATTATTGGGTCAAAGCATTGTCTTATAAAAGATGAAAAGCAAGAAAACGCTATGCTCTTGTATAGGTGTGGTGAAGCCAGTTAGAAGTCTGATTAGGCTAAGCCAAATGTTCTACTGGCAAATCGACTGAAGGAGAAGCCAGCTTAGCCGGTGTACCTAGGATCTGTCCAGCCTCTTCATGTATCATCCTTCTCCTCCAAGTGTAGGTAGCACAGGACACATTCCACATGAACGGCTTCAAGAGAGGATGGCGAAGGTCGGAGTGACCTCAGTTTTTATGACTTGTTTTGAGAAAGAGGTCTTCAAATTTCTATGGTCTGTCCATGGAAACGGATTCTCTGTGTGTGTGTGTGTGTGTGTGTGTGTGTGTGTGTGTGTGTGACTTGCTTTTGGGGAGAAAGGAGAAAGAGATGGGGGAAATGGAGGTCAGCCCTTATCTCTCAGGCCTTTCTTGTCTTCTCTTTCAGTTCAAACAACTCAACACAGGGTGGGGCAGGAGGCTAACCCATCACCTACTTGAAAATACTTTTTTAGAAAAGCTTTCTTCAGAAGACTGTCTTGCCTTGTATCCCAGTAAGGGGTGAACAATCATTTGATTGTATTCATAAGATGATGTGAGATTAGGAGGATTTTTTTTTATTGTGAACAGACAGATTTTTCCATGATCCAAAATAAGCAAATATGTTCATTCTTGGCAGTCAGTATAAGTAAAATAATTAAGACGGCGTCTAACTCAGTTTCTTTTCTATTTCAGCTGATCTGAATAACGTCCGTTTCTCCGCCTACCGCACAGCAATCAAAATTCGAAGGCTGCAAAAAGCGCTGTGTTGTGAGTTTTCATCTCTAAGTTACTCTCCTTGTTTTGGGGATTGTCTTCATTGTTATTAGTGTTAAGACAAAGACAAATGAAGAGGCATGGTATGTTTGCAGATTGAATCTGGTTTTCAGTGCCCCTCATTCAGGGAGCTAGCCCTGTTGCTGTAAATGCCTCGTGACTGGCACCGTCAGCGCGGGCTACCGAAGCAGAGGAGCAATGCCACTCACATTTGGAACAAAATTAACCGAAGCACGGGAAAGGCGTTCTCAAAAACTGTGCTGCCGCCCAATTTTAAAAGATCGAATCGTTGAATCAAAGTAGTAGGCTGTTGCCTGTTAAGTCCTTTTGCTCCACTTAAAACTGTAGGATTCCAAACTGTTTGTCTCAATGCAATCATGTAACAGAGAAACGATAAGAAAAATCCCATTGCTGATCTGTCTAGTAACTGGAACCAAAAAACTGATGGAAAAAATCCGATTCCTTATAAATATGAAGAATTCATTCAGTGTCATTAATGAATTCTTCCTGTGGAGGGCGTGCTCATAGAGGTATTCTCTGGTGGTCACTTTACACAAAGGTCATCCCCCCCCCCCCCGGAATATTAAAAAGTAAGCAGCTATGTGAATTCTTGTAAATAGTATATTGATTTATGTTTTCCAGATTCTGTCTTTGCTTGGGTGATTAACCAAGGACCATTTAAGCCTTGCTAGATATTATCATGCAAATAACATTTGTATGTGTACTTTAAAGATGGAGAGAATTGGAAAATTCTATATATGTTTGGTTTTTTTTTTTTAACCTCTATTAATAACTGATATCTATCTGGGTAGCTCCGAGAGGCTTTGAAAACTACCCTCTGGAAAATGCTGTTAGAGCCAAAGAATTTGCTTCTTAAAAACAGTTAGTGGAGAGTGGCTGCCAACATGTCTCATCTGGCAAAAGTGCTTTCTGTACACAGCTAATGACTTCGATTCCTGAATCTCCTGTTGGAAGGAAAGAACGAGCTCTGGAAAGCTGTGCTCTGACTTCCATGTGCACACAGCTGCACACGTGTACACTCGCGCTCTCGCTCCCTCTCTCTCCTCTTCTGTCCTCCCTCTTTCCCTCTCTCGCTGTCTGTCTGTCTGTCTGACTCTCTCTCTCTCTCTCTCTCCCCGTTTCTGTCTCTCTCTCTGTCTCTCTGTTTCTCTCGCGTACGCACTCTCACACACGCACATGCACACATACAAACGCGCACACATACACGCACACACATTATAAAGAAAATCAAATTTCAGGTTTTCCAAAGCTCAATAGAAGTTATTGATATATTTTAAGTTGGCAGGTGGAGCAGAGCTGAGCAGAGTTGTTAAATCACTTAGGGAAGACAAAGTCGGTGAGGTTAAATAAGGAAAACAAAGGGTTTTTGTGTCTGAATGAGAAGTCTGAGGGGCTGAGCAACAGCAGGAGATAAACCACAAAGTCTTTCATAATCCCCACAGGCTCAAAGGTAGCCCTCAGGTTGTAGTGGTTACTGCAAGTGTTTCCCAGTGACCTGTTCAGGAAGCAGTTTGCAGACAGAGGAGGGGTTGTCTGTCTGCTCCGTGTGTCTGTAGTTATAACAGTTTTGAGCCTAACATCTAGCCGTCAAGTCTAGGTCTTTCCAGGCCTGGTGGGTTATAAAAGGAGGATAAATGACTGGGAAGTGAATCCTCCACCAGCCAGAGACTGTTTTGTATCACTGTGAACTTGCTGCTGATTTCCTGTAATTCCTGGGGTGGGGGTGGGGGAAACGACCTGATCATGCCTCTCTTTAGCCCACATTCAAACCTGAGAGAGACAGAAGAGCAACCCCTCCAGTTTCTGAACTAAAAGATGTTTTTTAATGTGCAAGCTTAAATATCTGAAGGGCTTTCCTGGCAGCCCCTGACTTCTGCTTTCCCACTGCCTCGGGCCACCACAGGGCTCTAGTGTGGGGCCTGAATACCACTAGTCAGATTTACCTGTTTACCAAATCAGCCCCTTCCTCTCTCATCTGTGTTTACTGGAAATGCCCTGGCTCATCTTCTGTAAGTCTGTCATCCTTTATTCTTTCCTGATACTGTCAAAAATGTCGTCCCTCTTTTAGAACAGTTTACATGCTCGTCCCACCAGCTTCTAATTCTTCCAGGGTTTTATGATGGCCCTATGACCGTTTTTTCACTTGCTTGCCTTGCGTAATTATTAGTCGTTTGTTGGGAGGTTGACCTGTCTGTACACACAGTGACTTTCAGGTCCTGGTCACCTCTCATTTTGTGCACATCCCCACGCAGCATAGTGCTCTCTTGCCAGCGTGAAGAGAGAGCACGTTTGTCATTGTTCTGCCTTTCCTCATTGTTTGGCTCCAAGATCACTTGGGAGCTACAGCAAGGCAGGCAGCTCATTTCAACATTCAAAAGGCTCAAACTCAAAGAAAGCGTTGCAGGTAGATATGGTGTTTTTACTTTCATAGATTGATTTTTCCCTTAAAATCCTGTGGCCTTTGCCTTTCCTGTCTTGGCTCTCTGTCCACTTCCTTCATTTTGCTTCCATCAATTCCAATTGATCTCTGACCTAACAAGTTTTAACCTGTTTCTTCGGCCTAAAAGCTCTGGTTCCAGCTCTTCACATTTGTGATCTCCTCGTGGCTACTGTGTGGGTCTCAGACTGGCAGCTGTGTTTCTAGTACATGGCTCCTCTTTACTCCCTCCTGGTAACTCCATCTCATCCATCCCAGTCTTTCTTGTTGTGATATTTTTTGATAGTGCTTGTCTTAGGCACAAAGACACTCTATCAGAATCAGAATCCTAAATATTCCTTTTATATACTTCTTGTCTGCCTTTCCAAACGATTTACATGTTTATGAGAAAGAAAAGTCTGTGTTCTTGCCTACCTGAGCCCTCCTATAATTGCCGCTATAAAACTGAAGTCACTTAGGTCATTCATACTCAACAAATGATTTGAGTTTGCAGGTGGCATAGGTGTGCACCAGAAGATATGTGCAAGATTTAGAGTCACATTTTGTAGAAGTAAGCCTTTATTAAATTTGGCTCATTCAAAAATTGTTACTGTACAGCAGCAAAAGCTGGATGAACTACCCGTCCCCATCATCATGGCCCGTGTGAGAGCTATAAAACTAAGTGGGAAAGTCAAATGACAAAGGAAAGTTGTATAGTTCACTTCCATTACATAGAGTTGAAAGCCCTGCAGAACTAAAGGCTGTTCTGTTTATGATACACATCTGCCTTTAAGGACTGAAAGTAACGCAAAGGATAGAGATTACCCCCATGATCACGATGGACTGTGATTACATATGATGTTAGTATGTTCTTTTTTTTTTGGTATGTAATGGACTTTGTATTTTTATGATTTTCTTCAAGTCACATTATACATTTCATAGCTTATCTATATGTGTGTGTGTTTGTATGTATATGTGTGTGTTTGTGTGTGTGTGTGTGTGTGTATTTGCAACTGACTAAAAGATGTTTTGAAGCAGGCCATGTCAGAGAAACTAGAGGAAGCCCTGGCTGAGAGGGAGGCAGCCCCTTTATCATGTAGAAGGATGGTGTCCTGTAACAGCTGTATTTACTCAACCATCAAAGCCACCTTGGATTTAGGCATGGACACTGACCTGCGACAAGAACAAGGGGGATGGATAGATGCATCCAATCAAAGGCTTGGGTACAGGCCAGCGAGTGTCATGTGGAGAAAGACCTTAGTTCTTTGTCCAGTACTCAGAAGTTTCCTTAAATTCCATTTGGGTCAGTTCAGGGACCTTTTACAAATTTTTTCTTGAAATTTGTGATTTGGGGGTATTATTATTAACTGTTACTAACACTACTTGTTAAGACAGGCTCTTCCTGTCCTAAGATAGCCTGGAACTTACTGTGTTGCTTAGGCTGGTCTTGAACTTGCATTTCTCCTGTTTCTACCTCCCGAGTTGCATGATGACTTGAAACCATGACTAATTTTGAATCTCATGATTTTAAGTTTGGATAATTTTTTTTTCTGTATAGACTAAGGAAGTATACAGCCATTTTCTTCTTTGAGAGACTCCAAAGACAATACCAAGTAGAACGTGTATATGCTAAATAGTATTTTAGCATGGACAGCAGAGGGAATAGGATGAGTAAATGGTTCTTGCCAAAGAAGATGGAGGCTGAGCCGACTAGATGTAATAGGAAAAGGGGTGATGATCTAGATTTATAGGATTGCCTGGGGGGAGAGAATTTGTTTGCATAGGGCTTGATAGTTGGTAAATTGTGAAGGATGAAGGATAGATATTGCAAGGAGCAGTGCTGCTTGTTCATCCTGGCTACCCAGCTAGCTTAGCCCCAAAATAACCACACAGAGACTGTATTAATTAAATCACTGCTTGCTTGGCCCATTAGCTCTAGCTTCTTATTGACTATGTCTTCCATCTTAATTTAACCCATTTCTATTAATCTACGTATTGCCACATGGCAGTGGCTTACCAGCAAAGCACGTCTATCTTCGTCGGCAGATCTATAGCGTCTCTCTTATCTGCTTTCTTCCTCCCAGAATTCAGTTCCGTCTTTCCCACCTAAGTTCTGCCCTATCAGGCCTAGGCAGTTTCTTTATTCATTAACCAATACAAACAACACATAGACAGAAGGACCTCCCACACCAGATGGAGGGTGTTAGGAAAGCTAAAGATTTGTAGACCAGATTTCAGAAGAAAGAGAGATTTTGATTTGAAACACACAGAGGTAGAAAGGTTCCTGAAAGAGAATGGTTATAGCTCTTGAGGAGGGAACTGAACAGTGGGGCTGGGCTGGTGTTCACCAGGAGATGAGAGGCAGAAATGGGAGACTGGCGTCGTCTAAAGATATGCAAGTGTTGTGACATGAACGGGGTATCATTTCTGCAGATAAACTTCTCAGTCTGAAAGCTTGTATGCAGGAATGTGTCCTGGTCTCTGAGAAATAGGACATGGGTGGTTGCTAAGAAGGCTAGAACACATGACGAAGACCTAGAGAGATGCCCAAAGCCCCAGATCTGGGCTCAACAGTGTTCCTTCTGTTTTTGTTGGTTCCCACCCCCACCCCAAGCCAGGAAGTGATGGCGCATCTCTGTTTGACCTCCGGGTGCTTCATATTCAGGAATTTATAAAAGTCTGAAACTTGGTTAGGAAATGAGTAGCCTGTTTGTTCCATTTACCGCATGACTGGGCTGTCATTTTTCTCCCTCTGAAAAGACGAAATCACAATTTCCTGTGATTTAAATGTAGTCTGTTCTTTAAAAGGTACCTAAATGTGACACACTTCAGGAAGATGCATGCTTGGCTTAGGCGCTGTGTCAGAGTGTCAGAGTAAATCACTGGAAATTGAAGACATGATCATCTGTGAAATGTGGCAAATTACCACCTGAGCCCCAGAGTGGGAAACAAGAAAGGCTTTTCTGAGCTAAGTGGAGGGTGGCCTGATCCAGGAAGCAGTCTTTTTGAAATTTGGTCTATTGTCACTCTATGCTGTGTGGCTGGCGAAATTAGTGTTGGAATTCAGAAATCTTAGCATTCTGGCAGTAATTGAATATATTTCTTGTATCTGTTGAGAACTGTGCTTCTCCACCTACTGTCCTTTATTAAGCATGTCCCTTTGTCATATGCTGTAAAGAATGGTTTTGCTAGTGCTCTCCAGAGGTTCAAGAATTGAAAACAATATATATTACCAAGAAATGAGGAGAAAATGATAATGAAAATTCTAGATAATTCCCAGGTCTCTTATTATCATTCTTGGCACCATTTCTAGCTCATGAAAATTATTTTTGTTAGGAGCTTACATTTAGCAGTGATATTGTTGACATGTAATTGTCATGTCTCCAGACTGAGTCTTTTTAAAAAGTCTTCCCTACTGAGATATTGTAGATGTGTGTTCATCTGTGTCATTTTAACATAATCCTTCTCCACTGTAGACAACTTGAAAAAAATCATCCCATGTTGGTTCAACAGCTGGCATGGACACATTTCATAATTGTACTTAAAATTCAAAATTAGTGGTTAGTCAGTAGCTACAACTACCAAGATTCAAAGGAAGCTGTTCATTCATTTTGGCTAATTGTCAAAATATGTCATATTGGGGGCTAGGGATAGTTTATTCGTTAGGCAAGGAAGTCGTTACTTAAATGTTTCAAGCCCCACTTAGATGTTTTTCAGGGCTGAAAATTGGAATATGAAGATCTTCATTTTACATAATGGTAATTTCCATGAGAAAATTTTAAATTAGTGCTAGTCTGTCATTTCCCATACCTGTGTGCTGAGAATTAGATCAATAAATAGATAGCAGTCTGAGGGTCTGCTAGCCTTTTTATTTACAGCTAGCTGAGGAGTAGCTTGGGGTTAAGGTTAATAACAATCTTTTTCTTGCCGGGGTGGGAGCTGTGTGTACAGTGTCTGCCTCAGTAAGACCATGTGCCACCCACCCACGTGTCACACATGCAGTTTCCTTTCCCTGGTAGACTGACTCCTTGACTAACTTAAAGTCTTCTGTTTTCCAAAGCAGTGTCTCCTCCTGGAAGAGTATCTCCCCCACCTTGCTTCCTTGGACCTCTGGCATCTTACTTATCTTTCAAGGCCTATTTCAAATTTCACCTCCCGGACAGTCTCTTCCATTTGTTCTTCCACCAAGCACTCCTAATCCAAAAGTCTAAAGCCCGAAATACTACAGTATCCAAAGCTTTTGGTTGCTGACATGGTGGCAGACTTGCATACCTGACCTTAGCTGATGAGTCAGTCACGGTAAAAATACTTTACGGGGGCCAGAAAGATGATTCAGCAGAATGCTTGCTGCTCCTTTAGGGGAACAAGGTTCGGTTTCCAGCACCCACACCAAGTGGCTAACAACTGCCCACAACTCTGATGTAATACTTTCTAACCTTCAAGGACATTCCCACACACATGACACACAGACTCCCATAGACATAGAAATAGACATCAAGACAAATCTTTAAACATACTTTATTTATCAGTACCTTCGGGTAGATACATAAGGTATATGTTAGACATAGCAGCCTTTGTGTTAGACTCGAGTCCCATCCACAACAGCTCTTGCTGAGTTTATGCAAATATGACAAAACCACAAAGGTAGAGAAACTGAGAATGCAAAACACTTCCCTTACAGCATTTCCTGCCACAGATTCTTAGCCTGTGTCTGCTCTCACAGACGTTTGTACATTGTTTTCTCAGACGCTGTTATTCTTCCTCTTAGTAGTGTTACCCGGATGCTTCTTTTTTTTTCTTAATATTTATTTATTTGTTTATTTATTTATTATGTGTACAATATCCTGTCTGTATGCCTGAAGGCCAGAAGAGGGCGCCAGACCTCTTTACAGATGGTTTTGAGCCACCATGTGGTTGCTGGGAATTGAACTCAGGACCTTCGGAAGAGCAGGCAACGCTCTTAACCACTGAGCCATCTCTCCAGCCCCACCCGGATGCTTCTTAAGAAGGGGTTCCTTGCACACCCTAAATGCTCTAACACTGATCTTTCCCACCATCTATGATTTACACATGAAGAATAAAGATGAAAGCAAATAGGTCAAGACCAGGTATCTGTGAGCCCGTCTGAATCCATCTTAGCTTGTTGTCTGAGTCCGTCTTAGTTGTCGGAAAGGCAGAACAGCTGGAATAGAAGGCCTGATTTGGGCCAGTTTCTAATTTGATTCTCTTCAGGTAATAGAGAGCTGTTAATTTTCTATAAAATCTGATTCTGCTGGTTTGCCTCATTTTTCACAACTTTCTTCAATGACTTTTTAATGTCACTATCTACGTTTCTAAAAACTGTTAAGGAATAATTAGTTTGACAGTGGTATGAAGAATGGCTGGTTGAAGACACTTGGTTATAATTAGAACTAAAATTCAGGTTGCTGTTCCTGTTGCCACAGGTAATAAAAATTGCTTTGCATTTCAAAGAGCTAGAATAAAGGATTTTGAGTGTTTTGCCTACAAAAATGGTAAGTGTTTGAGGAGATGATGGGTTACCCTGATTTCAACATCACACAGTGTAGACAGGAGACATGTACTGAAACCACTGAGTCCCTCATTAATATGTGCATCTTCAGTGTTTCTATGAGCATCACTTAAAAATAAATTTAGAAAATGTTAAAAAATAGCACAAATGGATAGGTGGGAAGTGGTGAGCAGGCTTTCTTCACGAGTTAAGATGAGGTGAGCAGTATGTTATCATGAAATGTTCCAGTGTTTGTAACAAGCTTAATGTCGTAGATCTTTCTATAATGAAAAGCATAAAGAATCTAAAAAACAAGAATGCCAAAAAAGAAGGCGTTCAAAGGACAAAAGATGGAGAAAGATCCAGAAACTACAGAGGCCAGATGGAAAATCACAAAGGCAGATTGAATAAGATATTGGAAATGAAAGAATGGAAGTGTTGTTTATTCCATTAACAACTGAAGTTAACCGAGAAGCATCAGGTCATGAGTTGAACAGTCCAGCTAAATGCTAGCGAGTAGAATGGCGTGCGCTTCAGTGGCCCTATGGAAGGCAATGACTGTTCCCAATTCTCTCCCCTCTTCTGATTAGTGGATCTGCTAGAGCTGAACACAACGAATGAAGTTTTCAAGCAGCACAAACTGAACCAAAATGATCAGCTCCTGAGTGTCCCAGATGTCATCAACTGTCTGACCACAACTTATGATGGGCTTGAACAATTGCATAAGGACCTGGTCAATGTTCCGCTCTGCGTCGATATGTGTCTCAACTGGTTGCTCAATGTATATGACACGTAAGTTTGTAATTTATTCATCAAATGAACATAAATGAGTGAAACATGTTGATAATAATCTTGGCAGTACCATTATCATCATCTTCATCATCATCATTATCTTCATTATTGCGTGATACTAGACAAGTTTACACATGCTAGGTAAACACTTTACCAAGGAGTTATATCTCAGGCCTTAAATAATTTTTTAAAAAATGTACTTTTATTATCCCTTTCCCAATGGAAAGACTTGTTTTGATTGTGTATAATAAATGACTTTCCAAGTCATTAGGTCCTAACTAAGAGTAAGAAAGAACACTTATATCATGCCTCAGCTGTTGGCTAAGATCAAGGGAAAGAAACCTAACTTTTCTTTCATAACAGCCAATGAAGGCTGTGAATGATGTGGGATTCCCCTCTGTATGCTGTAAATATCATTAGTTAATAAAGGAACTGCTTTGGGCCTATAGCAAAGCTATAGGGTAACAGAGCTAGGTGGGGGAAAACTAAACTGAATGCTGGAAGAAAGGAGGCAAAGTCAGGGAGAAGCCATGGAGCCACTGCCAGAGACAGATGTGCTAGAACCTTGCTGGTAGACCATGAGCTGGCAGGCTCATGGTAAAATATAAAATAATGAAGATGGGTTAAATTAAGATGTAGGAGTTAGCAAATAAGAAGCTACAGCTAATGGGCCAAGTAGTGATTTAATAATAGAGCTTCTGTATGATTATTTTGGGGCTAAGCAGCCAGGAACCAACAAGCGGCCTATTACAACATGTGAAAGTATCATTCTTTGTCAAGAAGCAGCTAGGAAAATCTAAGCTAGTCTGATTTCTTTCTCTTTGTTCCTTACTGTCTTAGTTTATTATTTTCAAAAGAAACCAATTAATTCACACTTACTGTGAATTAAAATGATTTACTGCCATATAAGAACTTCTGTGATCTTTGTATGGTGATTTGAGAGTAATTTGATCAGCAATGAATAAGACTCATTTTGTCTTTAAATCTTAGATTCATTGCCATTGTGGTTATATTTGTATAAATTGTTTTTACTAATTAATGCTGTAGGACACGAACGTGTGTAATTGAACTGTTCCTCACTGTATATAAAGAGCACCCTCAGCTTCCAGCTCAGCTCATCCCCCCATTTCTATGAGCCCTCTGATTTTGGCAATGGATTTGTGCTTTAATCAGTTATGAAGACTTGCTGTGAGCTGGCATTTTGGAAATGTTGGGAATTATTCATTCTTCTGGTAGGGGGTTGAAGTATGAAAAGATGAAAAAAGAAAATGAAGACTCTTGCTTTTCTTCTGGATCCCAAATGTTAGTTCCCATTAACTAGCTCTGTGAAATTTTGCATTTGTCAGACTTTGATTTGAAGAGGAAAAGGATAGATGATATTTCATAAATGTACCTGCTGATCAGTGAATGATTCCATGCAAGATATAAATGGTGATGATGATGATAGCTTTAGACAGGATTCAGCTATTATTTTTGTTTACTTTTTTCATTAGAAAATCTCTTTATCTTTCAATATTAATAAGTACCATAAAGGCTCTAAAAAAAAAATAACAGGGTAGTCACTGTATGCTTGAGTGTGCCTGAGGGTGAAGCTTGTTTACTAGGAAGAATATGGGATTTACTGCAATACCTTGTCATCTAGTGTCTTCTTATATGTTGCCTTTTAATACAAAGTTTCGATTCTCCTAGGCTACAATATTAATGTTTGCATTACTGTCTCATTAATTTACTCAAATGTTTTAAAGCCTCAAAGGAGATCTTTTCTACAGTAAATTCACCAAAAATAGCTGGTTATGTCAATGTTGTCTGTGCAGTAGCCTATAAAATGGATTCACAATCCAGGAAGATAGCTAAATTAGAACACCCAGGAACTTCATCTGACCCTGTGAAATATGATAGAGAAGGACGTCTTGATCAGATTTTATGGAGAACACTCTTCCCCCTAGCAGTGTCTTCCTATGACAACATTAGATTTCTGGGCTTGCTGCAACCAAACTGTTTGACTGGGTTGCTTAAATATTATTTCCTCATGTTTAAAAGCTAAAAGACTGAGATCAATGGGTTGGCAGGGCTGATTAATTTGCCGTTTTCTCAAGAACCTCTCTCCTTGGCTTTTCACTGGCTGTCTTCTCTCTGTTGCATACCGGATCGTTTGCTCTGCAGACACACCAGGCACACTGAACTAGGGTCTGCTCTTCCAACCTCATCTTACCTGATGTTAAATATGCGGTTGGTGAGAAGAGCAGTGGTCTATGATACAAGGAGTTAGGACTACGATGTATGAACGTCAGAGAAACACAGCTATGCTCAGAATGTACACACATGCTTCTCCCCCTCTAGAACAGGGAATAGTGCCACCTGGTTAGGACTCAACCAGTGCGTGAAATGTTGTGATTCCTTTCTGGGGATTAAATGTTGGCGTAATTCCACTTCTGCCTGTCAGATGTGAACACATGAAAATGACACACTGATATATTTTTTTTTAACTTGAAAGACAATGCCTTGAAATGTATCATTGTTCTATTTTAGTGGAGAAAAAGCCTACAAGACTTACTTTCCCTCTCTGCCAGTGAAATACATCAATCACCCTCCTGGGTCAGATGGGTTCCCGTCAGTCTTTCTTTGTATCTTGGAGTAAATGAATTAAGCTGAGGAAAAAATCAGTTACTCTGAAGGCAATAATCTCTGATGCCCAGAGTTGACAGCCTAGAGTTCTCTACTGTGTGTGGCTTATTCATTTATCTAAGCAGTGGCTGGTAACTCTATTTCAAGCAATGGTACTCTGAGTGAATCTGATAAACTATAATTTACTCCTTCCAGAGTTGGTATCTGAGACCTTACAGAATCTTAAGAAGTCTTTGAACTTAAAAATGCTGCCTGTGTTCAACTTTTTCTTTAAAAAAAAGTTTTCTGTAACAGAGTTGTTCTTTAAGAAAATGTTTTAGCATAGATTTCTTTAAGCACAGGTGTTGGGGGAGAGAAAGAGTTTCTTAGCAAAAGGGCAGTGCACACCCAAGACAGAGGACCAGCCTTCTTGAAAGAGTTGCAGTGATGTACCTATTCTGACATCATTCATTCCTTCATTATGTTACTAACCCAACACTGTCATAAACAGGTGATGAAATCAGTTCCCGAAGAGGAAGGTATATGTTGGCTAGTCATGTGAGGAATTTCAGCCCATGACTGGCTTGCCCTTGCTGTAACATAGCCAGGTAGGAAAGCTGAAGGAACAAAACTGTTACCTTGATGACCAAGAAGTACAAGAAAGAGGACACTCTTGTTATCTCTTTGGAGGGCCTCTTGTAGGCCTTCCCCTAGATCCTCGCTCTTCAAGTTTCTACTCCCTCCCAAGAGCACCACATGAAAGACTAAGCCTTCAACTCATGATCCTTGGGGACCATTTCAGATCTAGACTCTGACTTGGTTGTGTATGTTCAACTGCGTTATTTACTGCGGTACGATGCAACCAGGACAGACCTTCCCCACTGCAGCTTGACACAGTGAGTCATGCCAACAGAGATCAAAGAATTCTAATCTAAGTGTGGCTTAGAGAAGAGATATGATCATTCCATTCTGCCTTCTATTTAACTGATTGAAAGGCCGACACAATGAGATGCCAGAGCTTATCTGTAACCACCTGTTACAAATTAATCATAGTTATGGGACTAATTTGCAGTTTTTCTTTTCTCAGTTGCATGGGTATTCTCATCATATTGCTATAGCTAAGTCAATCATACATTATAAATCAAGTAAACTTTTAAGTCCTAACATGGACCCAGATCCACTTTATAGTCTAAATTTTGTGCTCTGGTTGCTATGTGACTTGGCAGCCATTTAACTTTGGCATCTCAATTTCTCATCTGAAAAATTGAAGTAAAAACATCTGCACAGCTTCCCACACAAAAGGCGAGTGTGAAAAGCCAATAAGCTAATATGTGTAGAAGGGGCTTTATAAACTGTAGCTATCAAATTGATTCCATTTATGAACTCACAGCCTCACTCAGTCTTCATCTTCCCAGGTTAAAAGTCTTAATTTCATAATCTTCCTTCTGGATTTAACGGCGATCAAAACCGTTTAACTCATGCTTCAGAGCAATAATCTGGAACTCTCGGTTCAGACGTTTTTTTCTCTATAGAGAATATTAGCTCCATTTGTTAGAGTAAGTCGTATTTTCCCCACTATTCTGAGATGAATATAATTTTAAAGGTACTTAGCTTCACAGTTAAACTAATTTCAGAAGTTACTTACAAAAGCTGTCAGGGGAATGGAATACTTAGATGTTGGGCCAAAGCACTTACTCATACATTTTATAGCTCCCAGATGCATCTCTGATTAGATACCCTACTTGACATCTAACTGTCTAGGGTATGGTCCCTTTATGCATAGATTGACAACCAGTGGGCCGGAATAAAAATGTTCACCCCACCCTAAGTTTTGGAGGGTCTGTGTTTCCAACCATGCCTGTGTCCTTTTGCTCGGGTCTTTGCCATGACATCTCATGTCTGACTCTAGACTTCTCTTTCTTGTGGGAGTAGGGGGCCAGTACTAGTGGTTGAATCTAGAACCTTCTCCATGCAAGGCAAGCACTCTGCCACTGAGATCCAACGGCAGGCCTTGTGTTGAAATAGGAAGCAGCGGGGCTGCGTCCCCGGCACCCGGCCGCCCGCATGGCTAGTTTATACCCAGAAATAATTACACGGAAACTGTATTCTTTCAAACACTGCCTGGCCCAGCTAGGTCCAGTTTCTTATTGGCTAGCTCTTACATATTGTTCTAACCCATTTCTAATATTCTGTGTAGCCCATGAGCTGGCTTACCAGAGAGGATCTTAACCTGCATCTGTCTGGAGTGGGAGCATCATGGCGACTCCTCCTCTAACCTTCTTTCTCCCAGAATTCTCTTCTGTATACTCCGCCTACCTAATTTTCTATCCAATAAAATGGGCCAAGGCAGTTTCTTTATTAGTAAGAAATCATTCCCACATCATTTCCCCTTTTTCCGTTTAAACAAAAAAGAAAGGCTTTAACTTTAGCATAGTAAAATTACATATAACAAAACAGTTATCAAGTAAGAATTACAGTTACAATATTTATATCTATTTTATCTCTTATCATAACTAAGGAAAACTATAACTATTTATTCTTCAACTCCATCAAAGACTCCAGAAGGATATAATATTATCTAAGTAAACAAGAAATAAGAAAACTCTAGAAATGACAGAGACATCTCGCTGCCTGGACAGTCACCCAAAGTTCCTCTGTACCGTTGGGGCATCCATCTTCGGCCTACAGGCCCATGGTATCCAGATACATTTCCATGAAGCAGGAAATTTTAAAGACAGTTCAGTCACTTTCTGCTGTGTTCTGTAGAATGTCTTGTAGACTCTTTCATGAATCAGGAACCCCGAAAGACCATCTCACCTTTAGGCAAGTTCAGCAGTCCTCTCTCTGAGGGTTCTCTGTGTCCAGTTTATGCAACAGTCCAGGCAAGAGCAGTTTCTTGCCCAAATGACTATCCAACTCCATAAGGATCCTCTTCGATGCCCATCTTCCTCTTGAAGTAGCTGGTGCTGCCAGGAGCAGACGTGTCTCCTTGTCATGAAAAGTCCTAAGTTATTAAAATATTTTAAATGCCATATTCTGCAGTCTTTGAAAGATATGAAGAATGCCTATCTAATTGAAATATATCTCTATATATCTAGAAAATCTAACTAACATGACTACAAGCTTAACTATTAGCAATGATTATCCATTAACAACCTATATTTCCTAATTATACATTACATTTTAAGTGAACTACATAATCACAATACCTTAATCAAGTTCAAAAATACATATACATATAACAAAATTGACCTTAAAATCCATACCAATGCAAATTATTCATATCTATATCATATCCCCCTTTAAATGTAAAAGAACATTTATAAACAATATTTGGGAACATGGGCGTAGTTTTTTCTCTCCAAACTGCTTCCTGCTGAATGGGGGCACTGTTAATCAGATCATTTAGGGTGTAACCTGTGTGTCAGGTTCATCTCGGTTGGCAGTTGAGTGAAGTAATTTTTTGAGGGTGTTCACAGCAACCTTTCAGGAGGGCGTGGTCTATCATACCATACCGGGATAGATGCAATCCATAGGGTCACATCCTCTGTGGAAACAAAAGAAGACCCTCTCCAAAGCATCATATCCTTAGATCCAAATTTTGAAGTCAAGATACCTTTAGAACATATGTGCAGGTTCAGCTTAGCAGCCCATATAATAAAATGTCTCTTTGTACTTAGCTCCTTCACAGTCAAAAATTTTAAAGAAAACACAATGTACATAATCCAGACTCTCTGTGAATTTTTCATTTTTACGTGGCTTATTTTTCTTTATTTCTCTTAATCTATAACTATCTGTACTTCTGTACTCTGTCTCTTTAAAGACTTTACCCTTTTTCTTTTTAAGACATTAACTTTATTCTTTATATTCTCTTTTTTTCCCCAAGCCTACGTACATTCATCCAACGGTGTCTGAATCTGTTTTACTGTGAATCTGTATTTTTTTTTTTATTATCCAGGAGCATTTCTTAAAATGTTAAGCATTTCTTAAAAACTTAAGTTGCACCATGTATAGGTAATACGGTACTGCCTGTGTCCTGCCCAGTCTAAACCTTAACTGCACGGTTTTAAGGTAATTACGGTAGTTCCTGCCTGAGATCAGCACAGTTCAGCAAGGAGCAGCCGCTCCTGCCTCAGAGTCATTTGGTGCTTTTGAGCTGAGCACAGTTACAGGCAAACAGCAGTTTACATTGGAGCCGCAATCAGCAATTTAATTTTGAGACTGAGTGTGCAGCACAGAAACTCTTTTTATCCAAGTTACAGCCAAATCTGACACGCAGAGCACTGCGCAGTCTGAAAACGCGTCTCTGTATGGCAGCAGGAATCCGCCATGCTCTTCCGCCTGCCTAAGCCTGATTCCGCCATCTGCCCAGGTGTAGGCAGGGAACGCTGAGCCATCGGCAGGTCTCAGAGCAATCTCCTCCGATCCCAAGTGGGAACAGAAACATCCAGTCCCATAAAAGCCTTGAAATGCTTTAAAGCCAGAGTTCACGCTGGCAGCATAGCCCCAGGAAGCCGCGCTTTAAAATGACGCAGCTTTTTTTCTCTGCTGCTGTTGCTGAATCAGGAATCTCTCTACAGCACGCCACCAACAAAACAGCAAAAATCTGTGTTAAACTCTCTCTCCCTTATTTTTAAGCCTTCTCAGGTTTTTAAGTGGATTTAGCCATCACGTCTGGGTGCCATCTGTTGAAATAGGAGCGGCAGGGCTGCGTCCCCGGCACCCGGCTGCCCGCATGGCTAGTTTATACCCAGAAATAATTACACGGAAACTGTATTCTTTCAAACACTGCCTGGCCCGGCTAGTTCCAGTTTCTTATTGGTTAGCTCTTACATATTGTTCTAACCCATTTCTAATATTCTGTGTAGCCCACAAGCTGGCTTACCAGGGAGGATCTTAACCTGCGTCTGTCTGGAGCGGGAGAACCATGGCGACTCTCTCTCAGCTTCTTTTTCCCAGAATTCTCTTCTGTCTACTCCGCCTACCTAATTTTCTGTCCTATGAGGGCCGAGGCAGTTTCTTTATTAGTAAGAAATCACTCCCACATCAGCCTTGATTTTGACTTCTTTATTAGCTGTGGCTGTGAGCCACCATGTGGTTGCTGGGAATTAAACTCAAGACCTCTAGAAGGGCAGTCAGTGCTTTTAACTGTGGAACCATCTCTCTTTTAAAATACTACAGATTACCAAGTCTATTAGTTCTTTCTCTATAGCTGGGATGAAATACCATGATCAATGCAGCTTATAGAAGGAAGGGTTTATTTGGGCATGCAGTTCCCAGGGCACAAGACTTCCTAGCCATTATGGGAAAGTGGCAGGCATGGCTACAGGATGGTGGCTGGAACAGCAAGAAGAGTGAGAGCACCAGAGAACCTCAAAGCCACACTTAATAACATATGTCCTCCAGCAAGGCCACACCCCCTAAGCCTACCCAAACACCCACCAACTGGGGACCAAGAATTCAAACACCTGAGCCTATGGGGCACATTCCCACTCAAACATCACACCTCCCAAACCTCAACAGCGCCATCAACTAAGTTCCAATGTCAAATACTAGCAGGGACGTTTCTCATTGAAATAACCATACTCAATCTTATGTGCCCATATAATAGCATTAGGATTTGCTTGTTGGTTTTTAAGTGCACTCTATGTGTGCCTTGAATACTGCCCTAAGAAAATTTTGAGTATGGACCTAAACTGAAGACTGATGGAGATTATGAAACAATTACTATCGCAATAAGACTTTTTATTGGACTGTGTGTTATTCTACTGCAAAAATCATTGTGTCTTACTAATTTTATGGTACTTTTCCCATCACAGGTATCTACTACCATGACCAGTTCTTGTGTAACAGCTTAATAATACTCTGATAGACACTGGAGTAAAGACAGCCCTGCTTTTACAGATAAAATAAATCTGTCTTTTAGCCAATTCATAAGTGAAATTGAAATGGTGTCTCACTGGCTTAGTGTGAAAGAATTTCCTAGTGCTGATTAATTAATACATCCCATTTTTAATTACAATTTCATGCTTCCCCTAATACAGATTTCACACCTGCCTGTTTGAAATCATTCACTATTAAAACTGCAATAATTTATAGACTACATTGACAAAGATCAAAGTAAATGAGGACAGCAGGTTTTCAAGTTTTACAAACACTGAGCTTTCAATATATAATTTTCTACATAGTTTTTTAACATTTGACTTTTAATTTATTAGTATTCTTCTCTTGCTATATAAAGTTGCATGCATACTCCATGTAACTTATGTATACATTGATTTTGCATTTATGATCAACATATTTTATTTATAGTATTTTTGAAAGTGAGATTGTTTTGGCTATATGCTAACTGTTTTACATTCTTTTAATGTTCTTGTGCTGCATTTTGTGTGGAAAATCACTTCAGTATATTTTTCTGGACTCGGTTGAAGACCATTGATACACTCTGTAATGAAGTTGTGGTGTAGGTTTGACAGTAATTGTTAAAACTAAAAGACAAGTTGTATCTTTAACTTGCATTTCTTTTGTGGTGCCTTTCTCTCAAGAATTTAGCATCCAGTATATATTTTCAAATGCGTATAACCCATCTTATAATTTCAGGGGTCGAACTGGAAAAATTAGAGTGCAGAGCCTGAAGATTGGACTGATGTCTCTCTCCAAAGGCCTCCTAGAAGAAAAATACAGATGTATGTAAGACCTTCTATAGCATAGTCCTTCCAGTAATAATATCCATTCACTGAGCACTGGCTTTATGTGGCTTGCTGCAATGCTAGTTCCCATTTTAAAGAACCCAGTTCAGGCGAAGAGAGTCAGGTTTGTGCGATTTGAGAAGCTGATAATTGTAGGGTCACAGGTGACGTGATGGAGGAAGAACCGTGCACAAATATGTCAGTGTCACATCTTTAGACCTGTTTTTTTTTTGTGTGTGTGTGTGACTCCAAACCCCTTCTCCCCTCTTTTTTTTCCTCTTTTCTTATGTTTATATTCAATGATTTTAAGAAAGAAAAGAGAAGGAAAAGAAAGGTAAGAGGGACTAAAACTTTTAGTAGCATTAATTCTAAATAGTTATATTTTGTACTTTTGACATGATAAATGGTTTTAATTTTTATTTTGATTGTTTATAGTCATTCAGTCAACCAGTGGGGCCCCTTTAACTCTCAACTGCTGAAATAGATCTTTGCATGGTCAAGCGAGGGAGGTCTGCATTTGTACCTCTCCCACTTAGTGACTAAGAGTTGCTAGGTAGGTGCCTTGATCCCCTTGAGTATTTCTCGCCAACAGTAATGTTACTTCTATTTCCTGGTGCACTGAGCTACATTTCAAAGGGTGAAAGATGAAGCCAACAATTTTAACATTGAAAGGAAGTTGAGATAATATATTGCAAGTTGCCAAAGATAGCAATGATCAAATAAATGATCACCATTCTCATGTGTCTCCAAACTCATCACCATGGTAACTATCTTTTAGTTTAATTTGTCCATAAAAGATAAGTAACTTGTTACTGCCAAACCCATTTCTAGATGATTCTGTGCAGATAAAGCTGTGTATTTGGAAGAGAGGATGGAGGATAATTCATGAATAAGAAAACATCAAAATACAATAGATGGGTACAAGGGAGGAGTGAGAGTAAGGGGCTCTATTAATAACTCAGTGGTCCAGCACATGCTAAGCATGCACAAGACCCTGGATCAAGCCCCAGAATCAAGAAAATCAACTTTTTCCCCAAATGAAGGTATTTGGTCATTGATCATATTACTTAGCTAAATTTTGTCTCGCTAAAAGCATGCTGCATTCAAAATCATGTATTTTTAGGGATAACTGTTAGATTGTTTGATTTTGAGTGCCAAGCCTAGAACCCGAAGGCATGATTTTCTTACATAATTTGACAAAAATGTTAAGGAAAGCGATGTAGATTTGCATAGAGCATAAACTTACTGTGGAATCAGGAGGTGGGGGTGTATGATTGTGCGTGAGTCTTGCAAGCCTTGGAGAGAAAAAAGGAAAGCCTTACATAAAGTTTGGTTGGTGACCCTTTGTTTAGAACATTAGGAGTTTTCATCATTATCAGGAAAAGATACGATTTCCAAAGCTGAGAACTTGGCATTTCTAAAATGATAACTGAAAAATCAGTGCTCCAAAATTAGGAAAAGATTTTTTTCTTCCTAATCATCTGTGATTCGGGGTTTTCATATAAAGTCCCTGGAAGACTTGGGACTTTAAATGTAGCAGTTACATCATAGTGCTGAGTGGACACTAAAATGAAATGTAAATTCAAACTCAAGATTTGCATTTTCTGCAAAACAGCACTAGATGCTCAGATTGGAGAGGGAAGCAACAGCCCTAGAAGAAGGGAAGTCTAGCAAGTTCCTACTATTTAATATAACCCACGCGCAATGGATGCCGTTTTAGGACATAATTAAATAAGACATCTCTAGGGTTAAAATTTTAATCTATGTCTTTGCCTCAATATTGAGGCTCTGGAAATGTTCCGAGGTTTAGTTTTACTTCTTCTATTGAGATCCTTAGCAACTCCGATTCCACTCTTGATTTCCCCAGTGTTACGAGAACATCTCTTCATGATTACTTCTTGTGTGAGAATTAATATTCAAGACAAATTGCTGTTCCGACTCAGTGGCAAGCGCCATCCGTATGAAAGCAGGTTTTGTGGTGGCTGAAGTCAGAAGTCTTCTCGCTGCTGGTGCCTATGACTTGTGTGTTGATGGGAATGGCTGTGGAGTAGGATCTGGCATGCCATGTGCCCTCTTGCAAATGGCTAAGAGCTTGCTGACTTCAGCAGAAACACGGTCACCAAGCGTCTTCTGGAGAGCTCTTTGCACCTCCTCTGGGTCAATTTATTCGAGTGTGTCTCTTAGTTGTTGTTTATTAAATTAAACAACATGTGTGGCCCATTTTCAAGTCCTCACACTGCTTTTTGGGTCTGACTAGAATAAGGAAAACGTACAACTAACTGTACTTTGTGACCCTCATTTCTCTAGCGTCTGTGAGTAGTCTCACCTTCGTAGTGCTATGGCAGCATAACTTTCTGCTTCCAAGGAGGACAATTGGGCAGATTTGATCCTCTTACCAATGTGCACTTCTCTGTAAAGATCGGTGCACATGTATGTAGATGCACAATAAACATGCTTATAAGAATTCTGGGCCAATGTTTTAAGGGTTCAGTAGTCTTTTTTAAATAACGAAACAGTTTGATCTCTAAGAAAATCTAAGTGAACAAGTAATAACAAAAATTAAGTTTATCATAAATGAATTTGCTTTCCTCTTGCGTGCTTATAATTAAAGCTATATGTCATGATAATTGCTCTGTCAATATCACACAGTATGCTTCAGTTTGGAACTTCACTGTTGACGCTGTTAAAGCTGGCCTCCTTCCCCTTTGACAAGAGGAGAATGACATTTTATATCCTGCTAACTTATCAAGTATTGTTTGAAAATAGTTTGGTAGAACCTCCTAAGTATTTATCCCTCTTTCTTCTATTCTTAGCACCACATGAAGAGCATTTAGATAGCATGTCTTTTGAGCCATTAGACTTGAAAATGCCTCTCAGAGGTGTCAATTTCTGTGACAGAGGGGATTGTTTTTAATTAGCTGTGTTTCCCTGTTGAAAAAGTGAATTCCTTTACTAGATTAGCTTCTTGAATGGGAATCTTGTAATAACTGTGATCCTCAAAATGTTACCAATAGTGGATCTAAGATAAATATCCTGGGAAGGGGGTTTGTGTTGTTGATTTAGGAAACTTAGGAAACAAATTAGTGTTTGTTTTGTTTAAGCATAAAGAAGACAAAAGATACAAACATTTTTAAGACTTAATATTGAAAAATTGTTTCATTACATAGACGAAAACAAAAATAGCTTATGTAGCTAATAAATTCCTAAAATGAAAAGCTAAAGCTCCTTACATCTTTATATTTACAATATGAAGTAGATATGAACATAGATATACTGAAAAGAAGATGAAACATATTCATAGAATATTGAATTTCTGAGTGAACACAAAAGTTGGTAAATCAATTGATAAATGTAAAGGTATACTTTATAAACTATGTCCTTTAACAAATCATGAGGGAATCTTTGTTTTTCCTCATCCTCTTTCTTAAGGGAATATATTACAGAGACCATAAAACTAATTGATGTACATTTACTTGTAGTGTTTAAAACAATACTTCTGATTATATGTATTGAAAATAATATCAGGCTATTCGTAGACGTATGGCACTTACAGTCTGATTGCAGATAGAAGATTAAGAGATTTCAAACTTACCAATAATCTGATCTGAATCATTTCCCCTCACATTTTTTTTGTTTTCAAGTTCACATAGTTCAATCCATATCAGCGAAAATATGCTTTAAATAAGGCCACACTTTGAGTAGGTAGATGGTAATGTCTTGTTCTCCCTCTTTGTAGGTCTCTTTAAGGAGGTGGCAGGGCCAACAGAGATGTGTGACCAGAGGCAGCTTGGCTTGCTTCTTCATGATGCCATCCAGATCCCTCGGCAGCTGGGGGAAGTAGCAGCCTTTGGGGGCAGTAACATTGAGCCCAGTGTTCGAAGCTGCTTCCAGCAGGTAAGCATGAGCATCAAGGGTGTGTGGGATGTTTTGAGAAAGGAATTTAAAGATGTTTCCAAGAAGCAAATCAGTTTGTTGTGCTAGAATCAAATAGTGGAAGTTTGGGGTACCAGTCCTTTTTAGCTGATATTTTCTTTCTTTCTTAAGGCATGTTTGATTCAAAGAGTAAAGCTTGCATAGATCTGTGTCTTTTTCAGGAAGTGTAAACTGAAGTGTAATATCTGAATTCCAATGACCCCGGCTCTGTTCTCATTTATTGTCACGCATCCCTTTGTTCTCAGCTTTCCATCACACCCATTTCATTCCTGGGCTCCTGCTTCCACACCCTCCTGTGTCTGAATGTTTCTTCTGTCTGGAATACTCTCTTCTTCTGTAGACTCGCCCTCCTCTCCCATGTGTCCTGTTCTGTTTTGACATGTTGACTTAGCTCTTGAGTCCTCGGAATGTCCCCCTCAAACCCTGTCAGATGAGGGTGTTCTCCCTACTTTCATGTCCTCTCCCTCTCTCTGTTCACTCCTGTGTGACATCATACTGAGTTGTGTAATTAGTTGTTTAGTATTGCCTTCTCCTTGCACAACCTAAGCTTCATGAAGATAAAAACTGTGCCTATCACATACCTTATATCTAGTCTGAGACTGCTATATACCAACTGGATAACTTATGAACAACAGAAATGAATTCCTCAGTTCTCGAGACTGAGAACCTGAAGATCATATTTCCAGCAGATTTGACACATGCTGAGTGAAGAAATTTTGACAACACTTGCCTGTTGGTGTATAGCATAAATAATAAAAACCCAAAGACAGATATTGGGGTTCAACCTCAAGAGCAGAAAAGCAAAGCAGCCAAGCCACTAGAGAGCTCTTACCTCTAATAAGTCCTCAGACTGAAAAAGAATGAGTTCCTGTTTCATCACAATTATATTCCTCTTTAGTGCTAGGACTAAGGGCGTGTGACTCCCTAGTACTGGGATTAAAAGTGTGAGCCTGTTTCTGCATTGATCTTGTGTAGTCCAGGGTGGTCTTGAACTCACAGAGATCCGTCTTCCTCTGTCTCCCAAAACCTTGTATTAAAGGTATGTGATACCACTGCCTGGCCTCTAGTGGCTTAGTTTTACTTCCTGGTCTTTAGGCAAGTTTTATTTATAAGACATAAATAAAATATCACAATATTTCCCCTTTTGTCTAAAATAATAAAAAATTAAAAAGACTATAATTTAAGAAAAAGTATGCAATAAGTATAGTAACTATATATAATATATACAGGTAATAAATATATCAGCAATGTCTAGTCCATTTGCATTTGATAAATTTGGAGAAAAATACTCTGAATCTATCCTATCTTGGTGAGTCCAAAGTCTTGTACCTAATTTACTTTCTATCATAACTTGCATTATCATCCAAAACTATCTTTTGATATCTCTCAACCTTATATATTTTGCATTGCTTTAGGGAAATTCTTTTCTGAGTCTCACATACAATGAAACTATAACTATCTAGTCTTCAACTTTTTCAGAGACTCAAGAAGTAAATAATATTAACTGAGTAAGCAAGAAGTGCAAGCAAGTGACTTCAAAACATTGTGAGAAAGGACATAAACAGCTGGCTGCTTGAACAGTCACCCAAAATTGCTCTGTAATTTTGGGGCATCCATCTTTGGCCTATAGACCTTTAGTATCCAACAGACTTTTCTATAAAAAAGGGTTTTTCTTTCCTTTTTTATTGATTTTATTGAACTCTACATTTTTCTTTGCTCCCCTCTCTGCCTCTCCCCTCCCCTTCAACTCTCTCCGTGGTCCCTATGCTTCCAATCAGGAGATCTTGTCTTTTACTACTTCCCATGTAGATTAGATACATGTATGTCTCTCTTAGGGTCCTCATTGTTGTCTAGGTTCTCTAGGATTGTGATTTGTTAGCTGTTTTTCTTTGTTACATATGATAATTGTCTTTCTGGGTCTAGGTTACCTCACTCAATATCATGTTTTCTAGCTCTATGCATTTGCTTGCAAATTTCAAAATGTCATTTTTTTTCCGTAGTACTTCATTTTTTAAATATACCACATTTTCCTTATGCATTCTTTGGTCAAGGGGCATTTATTTAGGTTTTTTTCCAGGTTCTGGCTATGACAAACAGTGCGAAGCAGTGTTTTTGAAGGACTGTCCCTCCTTGTCTGAGCAAAGTTTGGCAGTCACTGTTTTTTGTGTCCTCCTTCTTCTGTTAGGACAGCATACTGTCAGCAGTTGAGATAAGGGTACTTTATTGCCCAGTGGCTTACTTTTGCCACAAAAAGAAAACTCCATGTGGAGTTTCTTCAGTCCCCATCATCTTCTCTAAAGTAGATTGATACTGCCAGGAGCAGACATGTCTCATTGTCAAAAGAGAGAGAGAGAGAGAGAGAGAGAGAGAGAGAGAGAGAGAGAGAAAAGAAGAAAGAATATATGTTATTAAAATATCTTAAATGCCATATTCTCTAGGTCTCTGAAGTGTTTGACGATGACTTGTTCATTTAAAATATATCTGTTTTATCTTAAAAACATACCTAAAATGACTACAAATTTGATTATAATATGATTAACTACTAACCTGTATCTCTTTATTGTCCTAAACAGTTAATAGTAATAATTTTCAAGGACTAGAAATTTGAATTACATTGTTAAATGAGTTGTGTAGGTATAATACTTTGAACAAGAGTAGAAATGTATGCACAGTATGTTCTAACAGAATAAATCTCAAATTTGTATCAATAGAAAAATTTGTTTACAACATACAAAAGACTAATCCAATGTAAAACATTTAAACCTAGTAATTGCTTTCTAAAAATAGATTCAATAAACTACCTTTTATCTTATCAGAGCTATATCATTCCTTTTTCTTTCAAAGTAGATTCTACCCTTTTATCCTATCATATCCACTAGTAGAGAATGAGACTCGTAATCTCAATGTTTTGGGTTTGAGCTTGACATTGGGCACTATTTGTAGATATAAGTTTCTGTTCTACCTATTCCCATAGGCATTCAGTCCCAAAGAAACACACAGAAGCTTATATTAATTATAAACTGTTTGGCCTATTAGCTCAGGCTTATTATTAACTAGTTCTTACATCTTAAATTAACCTTTAATTTTTGTCTGTACTTAGCCACATCTTCTGCATCTGGCTAGTGACTAACTCTCTGCCTTTTTTCTTTCCAGAGTCTGGCTGGTAACTGAGTCTCTGCCTTTCCTCTTCCCAGATTTCTCTTAGTCTGGTTGCCCCTACTATACTTCCTCTCTGGATACTGGCCAATCAGCATTTTATTAGACCAATACGCATGACAAATCTTTACAGTATACAAGAGCATTATCCCACAGCATTGGTGGAAGAGCAGCTTGCCCCATATATGTCAGAAGAACATAAACATCTGATGGTTGCTTATCCCTTCATAATACATTGAACATTATATTGACTTTAATACATGTTTGCTTATTGAATGAATAATAATGTCTCAATATTCTCTGTCCAGAAAATCTTTTAATATGAAGGTATTACAAAAACAGCCATCTTTTCTGAAAAAGTACACACACATACACAAAGAATCATGTACTAAGTTTTCTGTGATCTGAGTTGCTAATTTTCACCTGGGCAAGAGCTGCAGTTTCTTTTTTAAATGCTTACTGTGCATAAGCACATTTATAAATGCTACTGATATCATCCATATGCATAAAGTTAGAAGCCTAAAGATATTTTTCCAAAGCATAGCCAATGATTTATCGCTGCTGAGAAAAAATGCTCACATTGTATCTTTGAGGAGAATCAATGTCATGGGTTATTACATTTTATAATGGATCTCTTTCTTATTTTAGAAAGAAGAAATACTACATTATATATATATATATATATATATATATATGATTTATTTGCATATATGTCAGTGCACAGAATGACCTCAACCACAGTAGGAAGAGGCACTTGGTAAAATTTACCCCTGCTCTTGGGCATAAATGTTAGGACTTGAGGAAGGCTTGAGATATATCTTGATAACCTTGGATAGCCTATGAAGTGTATTTGTACCAGCCAGCCTCTGGTCTGATGGTTTGACAGAACAGGGGCATGACACAGCAACAACTTCCTTTACTCAGCATTTATAATTGCCTTCCACTTGTTGGGTTATCAGTGAGTCCTCACCTTCATGTGTTCACTGTCTTAGATAAGTGAGTTTTACAGAATTAAAGGATGTATGTGGAAGATTACCTGGAATTGTCTATTTTTGTTATTGTTGTTTTTGGTATTCTTTGTTTGTTTGCTCCTTTTTCCTTAATTTTAGCATTGAAAGGCTATGTACATGGCTCAATTGTAACGTGCTGGCTGTGTAAGCATGAGGACCTGAGATGTATCCCCATAACACACTTAAGTCTAGTACAGTAGCATAGAGCACATGCTTATAATCCCAGCATCAAGGAGGGAGAGACAAGAACATCCTTGGTACACAATGACCAGATATTCTAACCTACCCATAAACTGCAGGCTAATGAGAGGCCCTGTTTCAAAAGCAAGGTGGATAGATTGACCACTGATCTCTGCGTGCATGTAGATATACATGAAAGTGTACCTGTGGTTATGTACATTAAAAACACACAAATAAAATGTGAGCATTAAGAAATGGTTCCCCTCCCTCTTTTATGTGGCAATAATTCCTTTTTCTCTCTGCATTTTTCTGATTTTAGTTTCTAAAATTTTCTTACCTTGAAGAACCTATTTGTGACGTCACTGAATTAGAGTCACATGACTTTTCTCTTGTGCAGATTTGCAGCAGCAGCAGCAGCACTTGCTGCAGCTTCCCTGAAAAGCTGTTCTTCACTTTCTGTCTCTTCCCCAGAATAACAACAAGCCAGAGATCAGTGTGAAGGAGTTTATAGACTGGATGCATTTAGAACCTCAGTCCATGGTATGGTTGCCGGTTCTGCATCGCGTGGCAGCTGCGGAGACTGCAAAGCATCAGGCCAAGTGCAACATCTGCAAAGAGTGTCCAATTGTTGGGTTCAGGTGAGATGCAATAAGAGAAACCATGACTCCATGGTTTCTGTTCTCCTTGTGTGGTCTTGTGGTATGCTTCTCATCCTTCTTCATTTCCTGTTTGGTGGTTTTTCTCTTGAGTACATGTGATGCTCAGCACTGTCCATCCTTCTCAAGTGACATTCATTCTCATCATCTATATGCAAACTTATTTTTGTTCTTACAGTAAAATGCTTTAGTCCGGAATCGAGAATTTTTTTTATGAATATCTTTTTACTGAGGCCATAGGAATTTTCATGCAGGATAATTGCATTGTAGATTATATACACATCATTTTGGTCAAATTTCTTGGTTGTTCCATGTTGCTTGGATTCAAACTTAGTAAGATAGGAGCAGCGTGTAAAATATGAACTGATAACTCCATGTTACCTCTGATAAGTTTGTTGTGATCAATCATCCTTTACACCTGCCCATTATTAGTGCTGATAAAGTATATTCTCTCTCCCTCCACCTCCCACCTTTTCCTCTGTGTGTGCATGTACATACATACTCCAGGATGTCTGTGCATGTACATGGAGACCAGAGGTTGATGTCAAGTATCTTCATCTTCCTCCATCACTCTCCAATTTAGTTTTTATATAGAACTCTTACTGAACCTGGAATTCAGCTCAGCTGAATAGCAAATTCCAGGCATCTTCCTGTCTCCATGTCCCTAGTACTCTGATGACAGATGCATGCTACTAAGCCCAGCATTTTTGTATGGGTTCTTAAGGATCTGAACTCAGATTCTCATGCTTGACTGAGCCAGTCACTGCATGGCCCAGTCCATCTTGTAGTGTTCTCATTGAGTCAAGGCTTATGACCTAGAGGAGACCATGTGGAGCCTATGCACCATGTTTGTCACAGAGTTTATGCATCTTGGTTCTTCCACCTCCTCTTGGGGTAAGTATGCATTAGACCTCCTAGATTATACTATGTTCTCTTCCGGGGGTTTCTGATTTCTCTTAGGAATAGTTACTACGTTAGTGTCTAGAGTAGTAAATGCTTTACACAGAAAACACCAAGCTCTTTTTATTATTGCTCATAACATTATTAGTTATGGTCAGCCTGATGCAGTAATACACTAAGAATACAACCAACATTGAAATTTTCTATAAAGTGGATACAGGAGAAGTATGCATGTGTGAACAAGTGTAAGATTTATTTTTGTTTGTGTGTTTATATGTGCACATTTATGGGGGTGGCCATGGAGGCCAGAAGAGGGTGTCAGATCCTCTGGAGCTAGAGTTACAGTTGGTTATAAGCCATCCATCATGAGTGCTGGGGACCAAATATAGAATCTTTGCAAGAGCAGCCAGCACTCTTGCCCATTGAGCCATCTCTGCAGCTCCTGCATATTGAACTTTTGTGAAACTGCTAGAATTTTCTACTAATTACTTTCAAATTGAATTTAATTTTTTCTCAATTTATTTATTTTATTGCCTACACGTATGTGTACCATATGCATGAAATGCCCGTGGAGGCCTGAAGAGGGTGTTGTCTCCCCAGAGCAGGAGTTACAGATGGTTGTTATTCACTACATAGGTGCTGGGAATCGAATTCATGCCCTCTAGAAGGGCAACCAATGCTCTTTACTGCTGAGCTATCTCTCCAACCCCTAAAATTGAATTTTAATGAAATTTTAGATCTATAGGGTGTTTATCAAGCTGAGAATGGTTTCAGCTAAATTGCACACAGCTACTCAACAGCCACATAAATAAAAAAAAATAAGAGACCTCATTTCCTTTCATGTAAACACAGTACAAAGATAGACAACCCAAGACTGGTGTGGCCTATCTTGATCCTCAGTTCTGCCCTTATAATCCCTCTTATTTCCACCTTATGACTTGCATTTTCACAGTGACCTCATACCAGCAAATTGGTTCTCCTGGATGTCACTTCCATCTTTAGCAAGGAGAGAAAATGAGTGTTCTTCTTCCCCATTGCGTCAGTCCCTTAATATCCCAATGGGAACCCTGGCCCAAGACCTCACCCTAGATTGCCCTGCTTACCACCATCAGCAAGCAAGGCTGAGAAATAGTATTTTTAGCAGAGCACATTGCTAAAATGTGCTGACAGTGTAAGAGTGTCTCACTGATGAAGAAAAAGGAAGAGCTATCAGCACGAAACAAGATTCCGCTAAGCCAAGGCGATGTCAATCATATTTGTCAATCTATGCCAATAGGTAGAAAGATATTAGTATAAGGGATATGTCAATCCAGGACATCACACAGCTGGTGGAAGTAGACTGTCTCCAGATAACTTGCAAATGGTTTTTCATGTCCCTTTAAAAAGCCCTTCATCACTTAATAGTTTATAATACCAGCCTGGCATAACCTTTACATTATTCTTACATTCTGACTCTTCTAGTTTTAGCATGTATATTTCCCCCTATAAATACAGCTATAATGTATATCTTGTAGTTCCACCAGCCATCTTACCTGACTGGAAAATTTGGGGGATGTTTTCCATTTGGGCCCCTTAGAAGTGGAAAACTAAGAGTGTTGGTTCTGCAAACAGACATCAATGTACAGTGTTTTTGGTTTTTTTTTTTCCTATGAGAAGCTTGAAACATTATTTTTTTCAAGATTATGTAATAATCAGGATTTTATTTAACATGTCCCTGGTTACAGGGTATTTATTTAGTTTATTTTTATTTTTATACATCGGTGTTTTGCCTTCATGCATGTTTGTATGAGAGTGTCGGAAGTCCTGGATCTAGAGTTAGAGAACAGTTGTGAGCTGCCATGGGGGTGCTGGGAATCAAACCCAGGTCCTCACCTGGAAGAGCAGCCAATGCTTTCTTCAGCCACCTACAGGGTATTTCCTACTGTTTTTTTTTTAAACTAATGACTATTTTAAACAAAACCTAAAAAATTTCATTATAAAAATGAATGCTCTTGTGATGGAATTTTATATTCATTTCTTATTTGTAATCTAATTGGTATATTAAAATTATCCAACTCATTTTCTTAACATCCTCTATCATTTTCTGTCCACATTCAGATATCATGCAGAATGTCCTGACGTTGATATTTGACCTTTGCATCGTGTGTAAACATTTGCAAGCATGTTTGAGACTCTTAAGACACACTTGCATTTGTTTGCCATGTGTCATTGCATGCCTGCATGCAATTCTCAGGAATAAAGAAAGAATTTTTAATCAAAAATTATAAAACAGCTTATGAGCCAAGTTTCTACTTCCTTCACTTTCTGGGAATAAATAAGTAAATTCCAAAAATGTTCTTCTTCAGCCCCCATCATTAAAAAATGAATTGTCACTTCTAAATTGATGCTGAGATACAAAATTTTCTACTTGTGGTTAATCAACTGTTGATTTGAACCAATGGCGCTCTTTATTGAATTTAGATTAAGTAAAAGGAGTGACGGCCACTCTTTTCTTTACCACAGGTATAGAAGCCTAAAGCATTTTAATTATGACGTCTGCCAGAGTTGCTTTTTCTCGGGAAGAACAGCAAAGGGACACAAATTACATTATCCAATGGTGGAATACTGTATACCGGTGAGTTCAGAGCTTTGAACCAATTGACAAGGGATGACGTTTTATCCATTTCATTTTTACTTGACTTTTTTTTTTAAATCTCTTTAAAGAATTTCTGGGTGTAATTTTTTGTTGTTTTCTTTCCTTTGAAGTATGTGTTCTTCATGTGTTGAATTAGTTAAGACAATTTCTGTGTTACTCCAGTTGTGATTTATTGACTTTATAAGTAGGTGTTTTGGCTTCAGACTTAACTTCTTTTTAAGCAAGTTAAAGAAACTGATACTGACTTGCCTGTGTTGAAAATGAAATTATTTGCTGAAAACAGCTGTGGTTCTCTTAGACTTTTAAGGGATGTTTTCTAAAAGAAACTTGCACGTTATCAAAACAAAAAATAGAGAAATCAAAAATATTCATAGGTTTACTTTCTAAACAAATTGCCTTCTAATCTCTTTACATGTTCAAATTTTATAAAAATCTACATATATATGTAAATTTGCTTTGGCTTAATTTTTTTAAAAAACACTATGCAGCTCTGGCTGGCCTAGAGCTCACCATGTATATTGGACTGGTTTGTTCCAGTATATAAAAAGATCCACCCACGTCTGCTTTCTGATTCAAAAATCCAAGATTCAAGACACGAACTACCATGCTTCCTGTTAATATATTTTTTATCCCAAGTTTTCCATTTGACTTCGTAGATAATAGCTGTCCCCCATTTTACCTTAGACAATAGCTTCCCATCACAGAGTATTAATTGAATGAATTACTGTAATTGGGCTAATCACTTTTGAAATTTAGATCTTCGGTTTCTTACTGTTGCTAGCAACATTTAAAAGCATTGCTGAGAAGGCAGCACTTTATATGTGTGATATAAATTGCATCTCCATTGAGTAAATGACTGGAAGTGGTGGTCTAGGTCAATGGATATGAGTATCCTCAAGACCAAAGTACTTGATCCCCACATCCCATTCCAAAAGAGGTCTCTGCCACCGTAGGATATTGCCACAGTTGCTAATGTGTCCATCTTGCCATAGCCCCTGTAGCTTTGGATACAGCTATTGTGCTTTCTTTGACCTAGAGCTGCTCTGTCCTGAGATCATACTCCTTTTCTATCAGGGTTATTCCTTAGGTTCCTTCAAAAGTCATGCTGAAGTTTACTTATAGTCATGTATTTTCTTTAGAGAATTAAGTACCTTTTTGGATCATAAATCTATTGTTATCCTTTTTTTAAAGAGAGGGTGGTGGAAAAGGCCAATCCCATGAGGCAGCGGTCCCACAAAAGGCCACCCCTGAGGCCTCGGCTGGGCTGGTTCCCTTGGCTCCAGGGAGACCACAGTTGGGGAGAGACAGATACGTCATACAAAGAGAGAGTATGGGTATAGAAATTATTTAGTGGGTTATGGAAGAGAAAGGGAAGAGGAAGGAGAGAAGGTGGGGAGAAAGGGAGGAAGGGGAGAGAGAGGCAGCAGTTGCCTCCTCAGAAGAGGGACAGAAAGAGAGCGCTCAGGCTGGAGGAGGCAGGAGATCCACTTGCTTTGGTGTGTGTGGGGGAAGTTGGTAGGGTTTGTCTTCTTAAAGGGATAAGGTACCCAGGTGACAGGCCAGGCCAGCAGATCATAACACATATAAAATATGCACATATAATTCTACCATTCTTAGTGTTTTATTTTAAATAAATAGAGATTCTTATATGTGGAAAGGAAATTTCTAGAAAATGTTGCTGAATTATAGTGGGTGAAATATTCTTGATGCCTAACCCTCAGATTAATAGGAAACTACTGTTCCCAAGGGTGTTTAGAAAGTATCATTTATTACAGTTATTAGTTTATTTACTAAACCAACTAATATTGAATTCTACCTATGTGTCAGGCATTATTATCGAACGAGCTAGGTGCTAGCTGACATGGTCTGGACAGAGTCTAATTAGTCGATACTCCATATGCATGTGTAAATGGTATGTGCAGACACTTAGTGCCCAGAAGTCACTGAGTGTGTTAACAGGGAGAGAGGAAGAGGAAGTGAGGCTAAGCAGAAGGCAAGGGAAAGGTGATAAAGGGCAGCCAGTGTGATACCTGAGACCAGCTGGGTCTGCAGTTAGAGAAGCGAGCGTAAGTGTTCTTAGAGTGGGAGGCTCGGTCCCTTCTTGCCTGATAATCACCTTTTGGAGAACTGGCTTTCACGGTTCCTAAGAGAGTTCATATTCATCTCAGGGCCAGAGCAGAGATTTAGAGTCCTCTGTCTGGGCATGGTCAGGGCTTGTCTTCTGCTTTAAGTTGGAACCAACAGTGAATTTCTTGAGCAGCGTTGTTCCGTCCAGGTAGATATGCTTTTAAGTGACGCTGGGGGTGGGGGCCGTAAGAAGTAGGCAGCCTTGAACTATAAGAAACTAAGGTAATGCTTGTTTAGTTCTTTTAAAATAGGGCAAAGTGAGTGGATGGAGTAATTTGACCTGAGAATGAACCGTTTGAATGAGGTTATAGCTGTAAGCTCAACAGGGCAGAAGGCTAAGAGCCCTAGCTGTAGCTAGTTCAAGGAGAGAGAATCGGTGTCTAGCATCAGTTCTAAGGGTTTGTCAGCTGCTCCCAGGAAAGGTAAGATTAGATACGTGCATCTGTGATACTCAGAAGGGGATCTGTGATACTGAGCAAGGAAACAACAAAGAAATGCGATGACTGAGGATGTAGTGAGTGACTTTGAAAAGCAGGATAGGGCGACAGAATGATGAGAGGAGCCATTTCAGACGAGGCGAGCCAGGTCCTGCTTGAGAAGCCGACCTTGGAGCTGAACATGAAGGTGAAGAGACTCAGCATCTATGCAAAGAGTAGGGGTAGAGAAACATCAGACATCGCAGAAGGAAGACGCGCCATCTTCAGTATCTTCGCACAGTGCCCTTGAGGCTAACAGTGAGGTTTAGAGCCAAAGTGGAGCATGTCCCTCAAACGAGGCACAGCAAGACGCACTTAGTCCATAGATGACTTACCCAAAGGAAAAGATGAGGTCCTCTGTTCAAAGATTACCAAGAATTTTCAAATGACAATGAAGGACCATTGAATAAAGTTGGGGAATCTTCTGAGCATGGGCTTGCTTGCTCATTTGCTCGCTTGCTTGCTCGCTCGCTCGCTGGCTTCTGTCCAGTGAATCTCTTCTTCTCTCAAGGCACAGCAAAGGCTGGATGAAAACAGAGTCAGGTTACAACAGGACAGACACCATTCAGATTCTTTTTTTGTTTGTTTTTGTTTTTGTTTTTGTTTTTGTTTTTCGAGACAGGGTTTCTCTGTGGTTTTGGAGCCTGTCCTGGAACTTGCTCTGTAAACCAGGCTGGTCTCGAACTCACAGAGATCCACCCGCCTCTGCCTCCCGAGTGCTGGGATTAAAGACGTGCACTACCATCGCCTGGCTTACCATTCAGATTCTTGTGAGGGATTTGGATTGGGAAGAAAGATAATGTTAATATTTACATGATAGCAGAAAGAAATTCAGAGAGCCGATTATAAAGCTCTAATATTAAATGCAAAAAAATCAAAATAAGTGGATGAGGTTAGAGTATTGATATAGAATTTCTGTTTTTATTCCCATTCACACAGTTATTTCTAATAGTTTTTAGCATTCCCAAACAATTTGAAACCAATACACATTTAATAATCACCAGAAAAATAGAAGACTTCTCATAATCACTGAGGATATGAACTCCTAGCTCCTACTACCAATGTGGAATAAAACAAAATGAAACAGAACTCTAAGTCAGTGATTTTCAGCCTGTGGGTCGCCACACCATTGGGGAGTTGGATGACCCTTTTCACAGGGATCACCTAAGACCATCGGAAAACACAGATATTTACACTGCAATTCATAACAGCAGTAAAACTGCAATTATAAAGTAGTAACAAAAAAAAATTCCTGGTTGGGGGTCACCACAACACGAGGAACTGTATTAAAAGCTCACAGCATTAGGAAGATTGAGGACCACCACTCTGAGTAATCCCAAACTATTTCTGTTACGTCGTCCTTTCCAAGTGACTCTTCCATTTCTGGGATTCCAATTGCCCTTTAATTTCCTGGATGAGTGCCTTCTCCAAGACAAGTTTTGGGAGATCATTTGCCCTTTCCTGAACTTACTTAGCAATCCTATCCACATCTATATTAGGTTAGTTTCTGCACTTGGCCTACAACCGTGTGTTGCCTTGTGCTGGGAATCAAACCTAGAGCCCTGTACATTCTAGGCAAACAATCTACCGCTGAGCATGGTAGGCAAGCAACCTACCACAGAACTAAGCCTATAACTTCTTATAAAGTTCCTAGATATATTTGTAAACTGAGTCTTAGAGTCATACTCCCTCATTGAGTGGTATGCCACGACTTAACTGCTTTCCTTTTTGTTCACCTGCATTCTTTAGATCTTTTACTTTTTCATTCTGCGGTCTTCTTTCTAAGTATACTTTTTTTAGTGGTCCATTCATCTTGCACCCAATATCTAAATTCGCTTAATGTCTGTCTTAGAAAATGGGCTTAAACACAAGCTCATTTTTCCATGTAAAGTGATTATAAGTGATTCCGCGTGTTAAATGGATGTGACCTTTCCATAAGCATCTAGGTACTTGCAGTTCTCACAACCCATCTCCATTTCTGGCTAAGAAAATGGCCTATCCAGATCCCTGGCTCATCTGTTTCTCCTACAAGGTCACATTTTACCCTTCTCTCGATGTTTTTATTACTGGAAAATACAATTTGTAAACCCCGTTTTGAGGCCTCAGTACTCCCCAAATGTTTCAGCAACCCATCAGCTTATTATTTATGACAATGTTTGTGTTTGGCTGCAGGAAGACTAATGGTGTATGAATTAGCTATCATGATTCATGAAGGTATTTTATGATAGTGATAATCAAATATTTACACGAGGAAATGGAGCGGAATTTTTTTCTCGGAAAATTATTTTCAGCTCTTACTACCCATTGCTATTGTATATTCCAAATGTGTAATCATTTCTTCATTCAGCTCTATAAAAGCTAATGCTCAAGAGATAG